GAGAATCTAGCTGCTAGCTTTACTCTCCAGGCTCTGCCTAAGTCCGCCCACATCACCCTGCAAGGGTTGGAGGGACAAAAGAGAAAACTCATATAGTATGGCAGAGAGTAAGACGCCTTAGTGCCTTTCCGTGGTGACCCACTGCCAAATAAGTCAAGGCCTCAGTCTTGGTCAAGGGCCGGAGTAAAACCACTCTAACCGACCTTTTCAGCTTCATTCCCCACAACTCTACTTGCCTCCTATGGTTTTACGGAGGAGCACTATTACTATTTTCTAAATATACTTTATATTTTTATCTCTATAACTTTGTAAAATTATTTCTGTCTCAAATATCCTTCCTTATCTGCCTGACTCCAACATTTTCACTCGTTCTTACAGAGCCAGATCTATTACATGTTAACTCTACTTCTAAATATGTTTTGGAATGCCCTAGAGGGAATAATATGTCTTTTTGAAAATTCAGTAGTACTACTATATTTATGTTATTGTGGATTTTCTTAAATATTTAGAAAATGTTTATTTATTTTCATCTATTTGAAAGCACAGCTGGTGAGAGAGAGAGTGAGAGAGATCTTTCATAAGCTGACTCATCCCTAAAATGATGCGACAGGCTGAAGCCAGGAATCTGGAACTCCATCTAGGTCTCCCACAAGGGTGGCAGAGGCTCAAGCACTTGAGCTATTGTCCTCTGCCTCCCAGGATGCACCAGCAGGAAACTGGATTGGAAGCAGAGAAGCTGGGACTTGAACCAGAACTCTGATATGGTATGTGGGTGGTCCAGGCAGTGGCTTAACCTACTGCCCCACAATGCCTACCCCCTATCCTTGTGAATTTATAATTCTTCGCCTGTGTTTTTGTTTCAGACTCTTTACTAGACCATAGGAAACTGTGGGCAGGGGCTGTGCCAAACAGATCCTTGTGTCATTCATTGCACCTAATAGTTATTCAGCATTTATTGAATTACTGAGTATACATCAACACTTGCATATTAACACACCAAGTGGCCTACGCCAGGAGCATCATCTTAACATAATTTTTATAAAAGTTTCATTAACCAAGGATGCATATTCATATACATAAGGTAATTCAGAATTTAAGAATAACTATGCATAGTAAAATAAAGGCAAATATCTTAACACATTTAGGAGAAAAATACGGAAGGAAAAAAATTACAGCCAACAAGTAGGCATCAGAAAATTTCCACCCTCTTATGTAGAGTGCATCTGTTAAGCCTAAAGGTCAAACATTAATGATCAAAACCTGAATAACAACTTGTAAATTAATGAACAAGGGCCTTGTTCACAAATTAAGAAAGACTGTTCTGAAATTAGACTCTACACCTTGATTACAAGTGCCTTTGCAAAGTGTGACTTTAAAGCAAAGAACAGACTATAACTTGTGGTAAATTATTCAACGGAAGGGAATGTGTTTTATCCATCTTTGTGTCTGATGAATTAAAATGGAAAGACACTTACTAAAATCAATACGGCCATTTAAATTATTGTTGTCCTATTTAAAACAGCTCACCCTGAAAGACAGATGCACCATAACAATAATTTCTTCCATCTCAGAGAGTATGCAATTGTTCTTCACTCTATATGGAATGAAGTTGATTCTCTTTAACCTGAAATTTAAGTCCCTTCACTATTTTCTTTTCTTAGTCTTAAAATTTTCATTCCTTTTCTACTTTTATTTCCCACTTCTTTCTTTCAAGCATCCTATCTGTTAGTCAAATTGAATTTCCTGATTTCACACTTGCTTGTCTCTGTACCTCTGGTTATTTGTCAATTTCTTATGTCATTTATCATTTTCTTTCTTGCATTGTACCTTACACACACCTTGTTTTCCTTACTAGATTGTAATTCCTTACGTCAGAGACCATGTCTTACATGTCATCATATTTTATTACCTAGCACAGGGCCTGGCACATGGTAGGCATAAAAAAAATATGTTAAAGGAATACTTGAGGTATGAACAATACCAACAAAGCTCAAAACTGGGAACTCACTTTTGACAAGCAATAGAAGAAAAATTATTGCCTTAATTTTATATAGCAGTAGGTTTTAAATATAAGTGAGCATAAGAAATACCTGAGAAACTTGTTAAAAAAATGTACATTCTTGCTGTTACAGGGAACTGGAAGGAACACCAAGAGGCCACTGCAATTATCTAATAAGAAGCAATTATCTCCTGAACCACGGTAGACAGCAAGGGGGTAGAAAGAATCAGATGTAAAAGAATAATGGCACACTCCTGGCAATGGGAGTTATTATCAAGCTCTTCCTTTGCAGGAAAGCCATTTCTTGGCTGTTTTTTCTTACACGAAACCTTTGACTTCTAAAATCAAGATGACAATCATGTGTTCATTTGAAATTCCACTCACTCAAATGCACACAGGGAAATAATAATTTCTCTCATAATATTTTTCAGATATGTTCCATGTTTCAAAATGCACAATACATAGGCTGAACCATAGAAACTTTTTATCCAATACAGCTCTTTGAGAGAAATGTTACTATGGACTAGGAATTGCAAAAGATAAGCTGTGGTTATAAAGCAGCAAGGCACTGAGAGAACTATCCTATTTTCTTTAGATTATTTCAAACAGAAGATATGAATTGTAGGAAGTAAGACTTCAAGTGGTTAAGAAGAAAAGAGTTCTGTCTTTCAGAAGTTTGTAAAATGCCAGTATTCTAAATTTCATACACTGAACTCCTTAGGATAGTCCGATATAGTACACAATATCTGTCACTTCTCTATCCATTTGGCAAAGACTTCAGAGAGACAAATGTTACAGAGGCTCAAAAATGGAGACTTCTGGAAAAATGACCAAAGCCAGAAATAAAGTTGTACTAATTAGAAAACAAATAATTAAATGGCCAAACCCGAATGTTGTGTGATGCTGACAAGAGATAAATTTCTAAGGCACACCATCTGTTTTACAGTTTTTGTCTTGCTGTACTACAAATCTATTCAGTACAGTTTTTGCAATGATCTAGCTGCTAACTCATTTGCACAATTACTTTAGGCCAGAAATAATTATTGCATTGAATCCTTTGAGAGATCAACACATTCATAGGAGAGGGCAGAGAGAATCCATTCTTGAGTGAAGATTATTATTTTTTTAGCTCTTAAAAATGTTATTCAAAGAAATGACTAGAATTTACCAAAGGAAAATGAGGGAATTTAAAAGAAAAGTGATACCACTAAATGCTTATGGCACCTACACATATCTGTGCTTCTGCTAAATGTTGTAGTGTCTAAAGGCATGTTGCAGGGACCTCTTCTCTACCCATATTTTCTTCTTGATTTCTCTCTCCAGCTCAATGGATTTACATGGCATCTATATAATCATGGTTCTCAGATTTCTAACTCTAGCTCAGACTTGTCCAGTTTCAGATTCACGTATCCAATTATCTATCCGATATCTCTACTTGGGTGGAGAGAGACATTTCAAACTTACTGTATAATTTCAAACTTGATTCACCACTACTACTCGGGGAAAAAAGAAAATTCTGATTCTCCCAAAGTGTTCCACAACTCAGTAAATGGAACAATCATACAACCAGTTTTAGAACAAAACTTAGATGTCATCCTTAATTCCTCCTTTATTCTCATTCCTCATCTAATCGATCACCAAATTCCATCAAATTATACCTCTAAAAATACTTTGTGTATTTCTCTCCATCTCTATTGCTACCTCCCTTTCTAAGCTACTATCATCTCCCAATAAAACTACTTAAATATCTACCTCATCTCCTATTTCCAAGCTATTTCCCATCTAAGCAGCCAGAGTGATCTTTTAAAATTATAATTATATGCTAAGTTGCATTTCAAATGTAATTATATCACATATCCCCACTACCTAACACAGTTCTAGCAAATAATAGATCTGTAATTTGATTGATAGATGAATACTGCTTAGTAATATTCCCATGCATCTCTATTAATCTCCAGGCTCAGTTCTCATACATTTTCTGAGATACCAACAGACCTATTCATTTTCTGAACTGATCATTTATTGAGTATTGTATTAATTGGGACTGGGTTAAGTAGCATCTTTTATAATGTCTTAAATAGGATGGAAATTTGTTTCCAACTAATATGAAGAAGTACGGAGGCTGGAAGTCAAGGGTTGGAATGGTGGTTCTATCAGCCACAGGTCCTGGTTCCTTGCTTCCTGTTGCTTTGCCATCCCTACTTTTTATAGATTCCACTTTTGGTCTAATGAGGCTACAAACCCCAGCCACCACATCTGCATTCTGGTCACCAGTATGAGGAAGGGCATAAGCAATGTCATAGCCTCCCCATTTAAAGATACACTTACATGGCATTGACTACCATGCTAACTGGCACAGAGACTGAAGAATAGAGCCTTTTAACTGGGCAGCAATGTTGCTAAACTAAAAGTCAGGATTCTAATTGCTAGAGCAACAAAGGAGAATAAATACTGAGAGGTAAGTGGCAGCCTCTTTCAAAGTTCCTATTTGTGATCAGGTAATGTCCTAGGTTTGGGGATAGTGATCAGTAAAGATTTCAAATGAGGTAAGACCCATGGCTTGGAGATGTTGGCTTTTCTGGGTACTGGAAGAGTCCCTGTATTCAAAGAGAGGTGAATGGTTCCAGAGCCTTTCATCACGGAACTATCCAAACTGCTTCAATATTCCACAGTGTTAATAATGGGCATTTTTCAATTGTGTCCTACTGGACATGATACTTGTATAACACCAAACAAAGCATCGTTCATTTAAACCTCTATCTATCTATCTATCTATCCATCCATCCATCCATCCATCTATCCATCTAGGTCTGTGGTAACAGTTCCAACAGTAGGAAAATATCCATTTCAGAAATATGTTAAGACACATTTTTTTTACCTTATAAAAAGGTGAAATTCATTGACTGTTTTTAGAAAACTATCTACAGAACTACAAGGCCAAATGAAAAGAAACCAGCAGTGATAGCAAGTCTGAGAGAGAAGAAACAACACCGTGACTCACTGTTAACCACTGGTTATCGAGGAGTTCCTTAGCGGTGATTCTGTGAGCAGGATCTACTTTCATGAGCTGTCTCAAAACACTTTTAGCTGCAAATAAGGGAAAATGTTAAAAATTCTCATCTGTCTTAATTACAATTAATATATATTCCAATTAATTTAGAGTTAATCTATACCACATGAAGGAAAAGGTGTTAATTATACAATAAATATCAGCAAAACTGGCTAATAAATAAAGATTAAAGTCTAAAGTGAAAGTTGTTTTTAATATTATTTGAAAGGAAGAGTGACAGAGATAGAAAGAGAGAGGAAGAGATTGAGAGAGAGAGAGAGGGAGAGAGAGAGAGGAAGAGTTAGATAGAGAGAAAGATGCTCTATTCATTGGTCTATTCTCCTAATAACCCCAACAGCCAGTACTGGGCCAGACTGAATCCAGGAGCCAAGAACTTCATCAGGGCCTCTCACATGGGTGGCAGGAACCCAAGCCCCGGGCCATCCTCTGCTGCCTTCCCAGGTGTGTTAGCAGAAAGCTGGATTGGAAGCAGAGCAGCTGGGACTAGACCGTCACTCTGATATGGGATGCAAGCAGCACCTTAACCTGCTGCAACACAATGCTGGCCCATAAAGTTAAGTTTTATTACCTAGATTACCTAGTTATTGGTCTATAGTTAAAAATTAGCTAGATGATGAGCAAATTTTGATTTTTTTTTTTTTTTTTGACAGGCAGAGTGGACAGTGAGAGAGAGAGACAGAGAGAAAGGTCTTCCTTTTGCCGTTGGTTCACCCTCCAATGGCCGCCGCGGCCGGCGCGTTGCGGCCGGCGCACCGCGCTGATCCGATGGCAGGAGCCAGGAGTCAGGTGCTTTTCCTGGTCTCCCATGGGGTGCAGGGCCCAAGCACCTGGGCCATCCTCCACTGCACTCCCTGGCCACAGCAGAGGGCTGGCCTGGAAGAGGGGCAACCGGGACAGAATCCGGCGCCCCGACCGGGACTAGAACCCGGTGTGCCGGCGCCGCTAGGTGGAGGATTAGCCTAGTGAGCCGCGGCGCCGGCCCAAATTTTGATTTTTACTATGGACTTTGTGGTTTTGTGGATTTTTTGATTAGGAACAATCAAAGTGAAGACATCTTTGTTTCTGTAAGTAAATAGTGTTTATTTCTGGAGCCAGCATTGTGGTGAAGCAGGTTAAGTCATAGTCTATGACTCTGGCATCCCATATGGGTGCTGGTTCAAATTCTGGCTGCTCCGTTTCTGACCCAGCTCTCTGCTAATGTGCCTGGGAAGGCAATGTAAGATGGCCCGAGTGCTTGGGCCCTGCCCATCCACATAGGAGAACCAGATGGAGTTCTCAGCTCGGCTCCTTGATTTGGCCTGGCTCAGCCTGGCCATTGTGGCCATATGGGAGTGAACCAGCAGATGGAAGATTGTTTGCATGTGTGCAGGCTCTCTCTGTCTTAACTCAGCCTTTTAAATAAATAAATCTTTTTTTTTTTTAAATAGAGTATTTATTTCCACAAGTAAGTTTAATGACTAAACAGAGATTTCAAGCATTTGAATTACTGGCCAACTTTCTTATATTGCTTTGGTAAGTTATAAAAATACCTTATACTTACCATTTTCACTTATGGAATTCCAGACTGGATTTTCAAAACGTAGTTCTCCTTTTTTTATTAACTCAAAAAGTTTCTCTTCTGAGCTTGCCATAAAGGGTGGGTCTCCACATAATCTACAACAAAGACAATCATTTTATTTAAATTTAAAAAATCAGAAGCTTAAGTTTCCACAAAAGTCAGGAACAGTGGTGCTTCATGTTTAAGTAAAGAGTAAGAAGAGATGGGAACCTCTTTGGATATCAAAATGGCAGCAACAAGACTGTCCAAGATTAGTGCTAGGCTCTTGTCTCAACATGGGAAGAAATGACCCGGAAGAGGACATGCAAGAGTTCTCCCAAAAGTTTGTGGAAAACAATTAAATAATATGTAAATTTTGGTGCAAAAAATTTTAAATGCATGCATACATGGGGTCTTCAAAAAGTTCATAAAACATACATTGACTAGATTTCAAATTTTTTGCACCAATATAAACTCACCTTTTAATTTCATTTTCCATGAACATATATCATTACATACATTTTATCTTGAAGCCTCCAGGTTCACAAATGATCCAGTGTTCTTCCAGGTAGGAATACACTAAGCTTAAATGGTGTTGAAACACAGGAAAGTGTGGAAGTTTAAATGTACAACAACAGTGACAGCTAGCAGGAGGGATACACTTGGGTGTGAGCCAAGGTAAGAAAATGGCAGAAGGCAAATTAGACCCACGGAAAGACACAATGAGCCATCAATCTGACAATCATGTAGGGATTTTATGCATGGTAAAATACTATACAAATAGTAATAATAATAATAAACAAACCAAGAACAACCTGGAGAATTTTTATAGGTTTTCTGTCAAAACCAACAAGCCAACACAATGGTCAATGGTATGTAAAGTGAAAAAGATTCAGATGAGAAAAATGAGATGATAACTTTGTGCTCCATCCTAAAAGGGTGAAAGTTGAGTGTACATAACAAATACCATCAGCAGAAACGTGAGCCGCGGGCACAAAGCAAGCATGGGCTTGTCCATACACTCTCTAATATAGAACTATGGCTCTGTAGAGGTTTTTTTCTTTTTAAAATGTACACAAAGGGAACAAATTTCATGTATTTTCATATGCACAGTGTTAAGAGCATAATGTGACTTCACACCCTACTCCCCTCTCCTCCCTCACTCAACAGAACATGGCAAGCCTCTGAAATTACTGCTTCAATAGGTGATCTGGCAGAAAACTACAAGAACATGCCTAAAAGCTGAGTTCAATTCTTCATAGCCCATCCTCCACATGTCAGTCATTATCATTACCGCCAGCCTCAGCAGCTGAGGGCAAACCTGTAGCCAACAACTAGACTGCCCAGTGACTACATTAATCACAGAGGTAGTCTATTTTCAAACTCCCAACTTTGTATTTTTCTACCTTATTACTGAACGAATAAAATAACATAATTACAGTATACTTCTCAGACTGCAGGTCAACTGTGTACATAAGGATAATAATCTAAATCTTTTAATAGTTACATTTTCACTGGTTTTCTTTATACTTTATCAAAAATCGAACTCATGAATATCTTCTGGATAAGTCAAAGCTTGATAAAGACTTTTCATAATGATGACGATGATGATAACGATGACAACTTTCCCAGGGGAAAAAGTTTGGCTTTTTTTCTAGTAGTCTATCAAATTACACTGGAAAACAGAGCTTTCAATTTACCAATAGATTCCTGTTAGGAAATCAGAATTTATCAAAATGTTCTGCTAATTCTTGTTTTAATACTTTTTATTTCTCCAGCTCATTCTGACCCTCTTCACTCTCATCATACTCATCTTGCCATTGTTTAGTTTTAAAATGCAATAAAAAAGCCATCAAAAACAAAAAAGCCAGAAAAATGGCCTTATGGACAATTACTATCTAGTACAAGTCCAGGCCAGCAGCCCAGCTCATTGAGCCTGTTATCAATCAGTGATATGCGCATCCACCAATTTCTTAGCTGCCCCTGAACTGCCAGATGAGGCTGCAACCATAGCTTAAGGGCTACATTTTAAAAACTCAGCTTTCTTCTGTCCTTTGCAATTTTATTTACACAAAAATGTATCTAATGGTTGGTCAATCAGTAGCATACAAAATTTTATGACAGCAATTTAAGGCACATCCAGAAAAGGGAATCCAGGGCATGAAAAATACCTCTTCAAGCCCTCCTATTATCTTCTATTGCACTTAGAGGAATCAAAACAGCAGAGGGTAGTAACTATAAGGAGTGTTTGTTAATTTCACTCTCAGAAAGTACTGTTATCATTGTCTAATTATGGAAATAAATCAGAAGTATCTGATAAACAAGACAACAGTACCTCTGGAGAAGAAATGTTTGTACTTGTGGTGAAGGAAACATCTATATTCTACATCTATATCTATATATCTATGCCATCACTGGGCTCACACACACTAATAGGTACTGATTAGTTAAGCAGGTGTCTACAGTAAAGAAAAGATTCCATGAGGATGATAGGCAGCCACACTCTAAAGCAGAAAATTAATTCTATCTTAAAGAAAAAGATTTTCAAGAAATGTAATACACTCACTTTTCTTAACACCAAATCCAAAATGAGAGGCTAAATACACCATATGAATTGTGTAATATTATGTTTGACTTGTGTTGTCTTGAAAGTTTTAGGAGTAAAACAGACTAATTTAAAAGTTATATTTAAGGCCGGCGCAGTGGCTCACTAGGCTAATCCTCCGCCTGTGGCGCCTGCACCCCGGGTTCTAGTCCCGGTTGGGGCACCGGTTCTGTCCTGGTTGCTCCTCTTCCAGTCCAGCTCTCTGCTGTGGCCCGGGAAGGCAGTGGAGGATGGCCCAAGTGCTTGGGCCCTGCACCCACATGGGAGACCAGGAGGGAGCACCTGGCTCCTGGCTTCGGATCAGCGCAGTGCGCCGGCCGTAGCAGCCGTTTGGGAGGTGAACCAACGGAAAAGGAAGACCTGTCTCTCTCTCTCTCTAACTCTGCCAGTCAAAAAATAAAAAGTTATATTTAAAGACCAAGGCTCAGATTTTTTACATTATGATTCAAATTGACACAAAACAATGATCAAAAATTTTGTGAATACTTTTATGTTTTAAACAATCTAAGCAATGATGTGTGTTAACCAGCTGAGTTACAGCAACAATCACATCATGCAATTTCTACTGAGTATTCCATTTCACAGAGCTGTGAAAACTTAGCTTCTGTGATGTTGATACTTAGAAACGATCTGGAAGAGGTACTACATACTGAAATCCTCAATATGACCATAAAACTAATGTAGCATCGACACAAAAATGCTCATCTTCACCAAGAGGCAGAACAATGGCCACTAACTTTTCAGAACACCTCTTAGACAATTCACTTAATTCAATTTAACAAACATATTGAGCACTGAATATGTGCCTACTATTGCATCACATACCAGAGATGGAAAGATGCAAAGATGAATAATATAAGATCTCTGTCCTTCATGGAATTTAGGGCAAGGAAAACTATACTCTCTCTCTCTCTCTCTCTCTATATATATATATATATACACACACACACATATATACACATATGTCTATAAATTTAGTCTTAAAAGCTTATCGCTCACACAACAAAAAGCATTAATTCTATCAAATTTACATATATGCAAACCTTCCTATTTTAACTATTCATATTTTTTCTTTCTTTCAATGTTCCTGTCTTGCATGTATTTTGGTATACGGGCTTAAATCCTCTATTTAATGTGAGGAAGAAACACTTGCATGGTAAATGCAGTAACTCTGCCTGTGTAGGGTAGGAGTTAGGAAACAGAATGTGAAGCCAGGAGGGGACTTGTAGAAGAGAACACACGCGTCCCAGGGGTGTGCGCTGCTGGCTGAGCAATGCACCAGAGCACAGGACAGGTGCTCGGGAAGCCACAGCCACTGAAGACTGGAAAGGCACTGGAGTCAGGCCGTGAAAGATGTGCTGAGCCACGCCAAGGCAGGCTGCTCTGGTATTTTTCTGTAACCAGGAATAACTATCAGAGGTCTTTAATGAGGAACATAGTATGGCCAGATTTGTTACTCAGAAAGACAACTCTGACAGCAGCGTGAAAGGGGAACTTGGGGAGGGCGACCAGAGGCAGGAACAACAGTGAGAGTGACCTAGGAATATTCTAGAAAGGAGAAATGACACAAGTGAAGAGAAATCACAGAATAAGTAAGACACTTGAAAGAAAAAATGAACAGGACATGGGGTTCGACTGAACCTTGAGTGGCAGGGAAGGAGAATAACAGTGACTAAGGTTTTCCTCAGCATTAAAAGAACTGGAAACTACAGAACTCCCCTTAGATTCTCAATGTGCCCACTTCCCATGTATGGCCTGTCCACGCTGCCAGCTCTAGTGCCAGGGTGCAGCACCTCCCTATAACTGATGGGCTACAAGGGGATCTCCTGAGAAAACACAAGGAGGCCTTTAGTTTGTAGCAAGGGCTCAGGAAGAGGCTAAGGACAATTTTTCACTTTCTGCAGATCATACAGTGTACTGTTGCATTTACAGATCAATGAAAAGCGAAGCTGAAGGTTATACACTTACAGTATTTAAAAAATCTAAAGGATGTCCCTGACAACTACTTCCCAACTGGTTTTTAAATCACTTTCTAAAAAACATGTATTGCTTAGTTCTAATCTGAGATCTATAACCCTACTTTCAGAGACCATCCATTCATTTTAAACTGCACATTTAGCAGGCTACTTACAAAATGTACATTATGACACCTATGCTCCAAATGTCACACTGCTGGCTATAGTCGTGGGCATTGATAACTTCAGGGGCTGCCAAACAAGTAGAAATAAAATAATATTAATAATATAATAAATGACTTTTAAATGCTTAAACACAAAGCATAAAAAATGTGCTGATTTGTTGTAATTTATTCCCCACAGGGGAAAAAAGAACCAACAGCAGATGTTAAATGAATAATGTACCGGCCTTAACAATTGATGTCATGTATCCTCTCTTCTATCATTTAGCTCCTAATGGAATGATGGCATAAATTATATAACTAAATGCACTACTCCTTATTCTTTTGAAATTGTTAAAAAAGATTTTGCAAAGATTATGTAGTTACAGTAGAAGACAACAATATCTTAGTCCTTTCTGAAAAACAGAGCTGAATACATGACTTAAGTAGAAGTAATTTAAAAGCAAGCCCTATGTGTAGAAATCGGGATTCAGAGAAAAACTAAGATAAATGATTATAAATCATTTTAGCAAAGGAACAATAATAATAATAACATAACACTACTCTGATGAGATAGTATGAATTACTTCCCACATTTTCTGAATGAGAAAAACCAAGACAAAGAGAAAGCTCCTATAAGACTGGATCAAAAAGCCAACAGACCCAGCCTAAGAGCTGAGATCCAGGTATTCCTGACTCCCCAGCTCCGTGCTCCCTGCATTACAGAAGTGCTCCCAACAGAGTTCCCTTAAACAATAACTCAAATTAGAACCATTTTTTTTTCAACTCTAAGGTGGCACATTTTTTAGTTATTATATATATATATATATTTTTTTTTGACAGGCAGAGTGGATAGTGAGAGAGAGAGACAGAAAGGTCTTCCTTTTTGCCGTTGGTTCACCCTCCAATGGCCGCCACGGCCGGCGCACTGTGGCCGGCGCATTGCACTGATCCAAAGCCAGGAGCCAGGTGCTTATCCTGGTCTCCCATGGGGTGCAGGGCCCAAGCACTTGGGCCAACCTCCACTGCACTCCTGGGCCACAGCAGAGAGCTGGCCTGGAAGAGGGGCAACCGGGACAGAATCCGGTGCCCCGACCAGGACTAGAACCCGGTGTGCCAGCGCCGCAGGTGGGGGATTAGCCTAGTGAGCCGCAGCACCGGCTAATGAAAGCTTTTTTTTAAAGTTATATGATACTGTAAGAACATATCATATCTCTACAGCTACGATCAGATATCTTTGTTGAAAGATAAAAGTTACAAACATAAAAAGATTTGTATATGTTTCAATAGAACTTTAAAATATTCATACAGCATTTTGCATAAATTAGATTAGGAATAGATGAGACATTTGATCCCCTGTGCCCGTGAGAAACTAAGGTTCAGATACATGACTGAAGACTCGCAGCCAGAGTGCCTCCTCTACACAATGGGCAGCTCCAGGTCTTTATTTTAGAACACAGTTTCAATATCCCCCCTCACACCTTACACACAACTACACACGCGCACACACACATCGTTTATAATAACTAGTCACAGAAAATGGATTTTATTTCCTCTTTCCCCCTCTGCCTATTGTTAAAGGTACAGCAACCAAAAGAGGTCAAAAGGTAAACAGAATAAAGAAAATGAGAAAAGGTTAACCTATCATTAACAAACTGAGTCCTTTGTCTCCAAATGATTGAAAAGTTGCTAATTAATATTTCCCTTTAAGCAACTATTCGTATTCTTTAACTCTACTTAAAGTCTTCAGCTACTAAATCATTAAAGTTTACGTTATTCTAAGGCAACGCCTCCGTGGCAGGGTCTAATTCTCTGACTAGACTGAATGAAGGATCTCCATACTGGTGCATCACACAGCAGGGGCAAGGAATTCCTACTTTTCCCTCTTTCAGAATCTTCTTAATTATCAGGAGCATCTCTAC